ATTTTGTTTTGTTTGGGTTTTTTTGCAGTTTTTAGTTGGGGTAGGGTTTGAACCTACCACCTCTGGTGTATGGGGCCGGCGCCCTACTCCTTTGAGCCACAGGCACTGCCCCCAAATACTCAACATTTTACACAAGGATTCTTCTTATCAAGGTTAATCAGAATTGCCCATATTTGGCATGCTGCAACTAGAAATACTAGTAACAACATTTACTGGGTGCTTCTTGTTTGCAAGACACTTTACTATGAGTTTTTATAATTTTTAAAATAATCCAGTGAAGAGTGGATTATTTTTAAATATTAAACTTACTTTACAGGTAAGAAAACTTTATATATAACCAACAAGTAGCAAAGATGAGGTTCAAACACTACAAGCCTCTCCCTTTTTCTTTTTAAATTGAGATATAATTCACAAAGCATGAAACCATACAATTCAGTATTTTTAGGAGGCTCACAAGTTTGCAAATATCATCACTATCTAATTCCAGAACATTTTTATCAACTGCCCCAAAAATCTATGTACCCATTAGCAGTCACTCCCTCCTGGCCTTCTCCATAGCTCCCAGCAGCCACTCATACACTTTCCATCTCCATGGATTTGCCCATTCTAGACATCTCACATAAACAAAACCATATTATAGCCTTGCACCTATCTTCTTTCACTCAGCATGTTTCCAAAGTTCATCCATGTTATAGCATTTATTAATACTTATCGCCTTTGATTGCTGAATAATATTCCATTGTATGGGTATATCACATTTTGTGTATCCTTTCATCAGTTGACATTTAGATTGTTTCCACTTTTAGCTATTACAAATACTACTACCATGATCATTTATATATAGTTTTGTGTGGAGCTATTTTTTCATTTCTCTTAGGTATATACCTAGAAGTGAAAGAGCCTACCTTTTTTCTTTTTTTTGAGACAGAGTCTCAAGCTATTGCCCGAGGTAGAATGCCATGGCGTCACAGGTCACAGCAACCTGAAACTCTTGGGTTTAAGCAATTCTCTTGCCTCAGGCTCCCAAGTAGCTGGGACTATAGGCGCCTGCCACAATGTCCGGTGATTTTTTGGTTGTAGTTGTCGTTGTTTGGCAGGCCCAGGCTGGATTTGAACCTGCTAGCTCTGGTATATGTGGCTGGTGCCCCAGCCACTGAGCTACAGGCAACAAGCCAGAGCCTATCTTTTTGTTTTTTTTTCCCTGAGACAGATTCTCACTTTTTTGCCCTCAGTAGAGTGCGGTGGCATCACAGCTCACAGCAACCTCCAGCTCTTGGGTTTAGGTGATTCTCTTGCCTGAGCCTCCTGAGTAGCTGAAACTACAGGCACCTATCACACCACCTGGCTATTTTTGTTGCAGTTTGGCCGGGGCCGGGTTGGAACCCACCACTCCTGGTATACGGGGCTGGCGCCCTACCCACTGAGCCACAGGCACTGCCCATCAGAGCCTATCTTTTTAAACACTGTGATTTTACTATTCTCCTATAAACAGCACTATCATGTTCAGTTAATCTAATTAAGTTTCCCATATTAACTTTATTAATATAGGAAAATAAGTATTATCAATAAATTATTAAGGTCAATAGAAATATAAACTGCACCAGTAACATAATATAGTCCAAGTATTTGTTTTTAGCCTTTTTTTTTTTTTATTAAATCATAGCTGTGTACATTTATGCAATTACAGGGTACAACGTGCTGATTTTATATACAATTTGAAATCTTTTCATCAAACTGGTTAACATAGCCTTCACTGCACTTTCTTAGTTATTGTGTTAAGATATTTATACTCTGGCTCAGCACCTGTGGCTCAAGTGGCTAAGGCGCCAGCCACATACACCTAAGGTGGCAGGTTTGAATCCAGCCCAGGCCTACAAAACAACAATGACGGCTGCTACCAAAAAAAATAGTCCGGCGTTGTGGCGGGCGCCTGTGGTCTCAGCTACTTGGGAGCCTGAGGCAGGAGACTCACTTGAGCCTGGGAGTTGGAGGTTGCTGTGAGCTGCGCTGCCACGGCACTCTCCCCAGGGGGACAGCTTGAGGCTCTGTCTCAAAAACAAAAAACAAACAAACAAAAAAAGATATTTATACTCTACACTTAGTAGATTTGACATGTACCCTTGTATAATGCACCAGTGTGGTCCCACCAATTACCCTCCCTCCACACGTTCTCCCTCCCTTCCCCCCTACTCTTCCCCTTCATCTTGGGTTGTAGTTGGGTTATAGCTTTCATATGGAAGTGTGGGTGCCTATATACTGGTTTCATAGCCCATGTATTTGTAATGGTTTGGAGCATGGGTACTGTATGGCCTTAAGTCTAAATCCTACTCAGCTATCTTTTGGAAAAGTTATTTAACCACTATGACTTTCAAAAACTACAGTTGTTATAAGTATTAAAATACTTGTAATTTGTTGACTGCTTATTTTTATAGCCATATCCTAAACACTACATACCTACATATATATATAAATAACACAATATATAATATATATTGTATAAACATGTTTGAATTAACCTTCAAATCTACATATAATATCATCATCTCTCCCATTTTATAGATGAGAAAAGGGATCATCTAAAATAGACAATTACATAAGATACACTCTATAAGAGACATACATAAATTTAGGGTCTAAAATTATCCAGTTAGTGTGTTTTAAAAGTTGGGTATGGTGGCTCACACCTATAATCTTAGCACTTTAGGGAAGTTGAGGCAGGAGGATCACTTGAACCAAAGAGTTTGAGACCAGCTTAAGCAACATAGTCAGGCATTGTCTCTACAAAAACCAGAAAATGTTGTCAGGCATGGTGGTGTCGCCTGTAGCCCCAGCTACTTGGGAACCTGAGGCAAGAGGATCACTTGAGCCCAGGAGACTGAGGTTGCAGCGAGATATAACACCACTGCACTGTAACCCAGGCAACAGAGTGAGACCCTATCTCAAAAAAGTTTTTTCATCTATTACCTTTATTTGTAGTTCTTAATACATATTTTAATATATTTTCCACTAAAGTTC